CTCTTCCAACAGTGCTTCACACTATTCACAATTGAATTTCCCTTCTGGGATAAATAAAGTATTTTTCATTTCATTATTCTTCATTTGATTCTCTCTTATAGGGTGGCTGTGGCTCAGGTGGTACAGTGGGTTGTCCTGTAATCACAGGATTGCTGGTTCAATCCAAAGTTGCTCCCAATGGCAACACTTTGGATGGACGTTCTGTCGCCATTGGTGTGTGCAAGTGTGTCTACTCTCTCGCTTTGGATAAAAGCGTCTGGGAAATGAAATTGTAAAATTGTAAATGTCCTGATTGTTAAAAAAAGATGTATACCTAAATGTATGAATGTCTTCAGTTAATATCAGATGTTAAGTGAGGAAGATGAAGCACAGAAGTTGCAAATGCAAATAAAGCTCACAAAAAAGACTAATCCCTTTATTTGGTGCATTTTAAGAATCACAGTAGCAAACTTAAGTGTTAGCATTTATTTTCATTAAGTGCAGTTCCTGATTTCACATTTTTCCCCTCCAACAGGTCACACTCTGTATTTTTATTTCCTTGTCTGGAATCCAGTGGCCAACAACAATTTTGACCAGCAAAACATCTGTAATCCTGTTGACCTAAAGCAGGGGAGACCACAGAAGAGCGAACAAGAAGAAAAAGACGCCTGAAGGCTTTAGCCGTCCACTTCCACTGGATTCTGTCCTCTGCTGACCAGATGTTAGATGGCAGCGTTTCATGTTTCCAGCTGCGTCCCACACCAGCATCTCTGCCTGAGCAGAACAGCAGCTGGATGTGTACCTCGCCCACAGTGGCTGAGATGAATCCAGTGACCATTCAGAAACATTCACAGGGGGGTCTCCACTCTGTAGGGTGGCCTTGTGGTGGTGATGGTGGCCTGCGTTGGTTATCTCGTCCCTGTGTACCTGTTTCTGGTCAGGGCCTTTCTGGGCCTCTTCAAGGGTGTCCTCTGTGGGTGGGGGGCTGTGGAATAAAGTCAGAATACCTTCACCGTTCTGCAGTTGGATGGCAGTAAGGCCTGAGCGACCGGTATCTGACACAACTAGAGACACGCTCCAGCTAGACTGATTGCAAATGGAAGGACAGTTAGACTGGACTCGTGCAGCAGAGCAGGACGGTGGTGATGTGTCAGAATCCTGCAGGCAACAGAGAAAACTGTCATACACAGGGACACTTTGACGAAGCTTGAAATCAAATTTGTAAATGCAAAATAAGAGACTTCTGAATAAAATAGTAAGGACAGGCTCCAAAAAGAGAATATCCTTCTCGTTTTCCACTTAGATCATTTACTAACCGGGGGGACCACAGTCAAGTAGGCCACTGCATAATTTGAATCTGGAGAGTCGAGAGCATGCACAGTGAGTATAAGTGTGACAGTCGCTCCTGCCTGAGCTTCGGCAGAGGTCAGGAGGTCCACCTGGCCACGGAAAGACCCCTGTTCTGCAACAGGGAACCTGAAAGACAAGAGCTCCAAAGTTTAAAAAAAAAAAAGAAAGTACAAGTTTACCTAAACATTAATATGCATGCTACAAAACATCACATTTCCCAAAAGTTGTTTTACTTTTCTGCTTGACACAAAGACAACAGTACTTAAAGGTATAAAGTGTTCTTTCTAAGGACTGTGTACATTAATGCAAAGGCAATGTCTGCAAAAGACACAAAAGACACTGGATGGCAAGATAAGTGCAAGTTTCACTACTTTCATTCAGTTTTGGCTGTACCTGTGTGGTCCTTTGGTGCGAAGATAACCACAGTTGTCGTCAGCAGTCAAACTGAAGAGTCGTTCAGGACCATGGTTCAGGATGTCAAAGTCCACTACGGTGCTGTGACCAGGTACAAGGCGGGGGACGGACAACACCTGAGGAATAAAGATAAACAAACTATTCTATGGACGGTACTGAAAACTGTTGAATGTGATGAATCATAATTTGATATTTTGAGAGCTGTGATTTTTCAACTGTCATCAACAACAGAGTGCAGACAGCAGTTTTCCTTTAGTATTGATGAGGTGGCAGGATGAATTGCCCCTGGACAGGTAGGATGCATTGGGTTTATCTGTAGTTTTTTTCTGAAAAAGCTGCCCACTGTGTATTTAAACAACTGAATCCAAACACATTATGCGCCATAAAATCTAACAAAAAGCTAAAAGACATTAAAACTCTCCATGGAGCTGAATGAAATTTAATCACGGGATACTTTTCTGAAATATTTTTAAACAAGCGACACCTTTCATGTTTTTAAATGTTGGTAAATATTGATAAAGTGCAGCTTTAAGTGTATGTGACCTCTCCTCAGGGCACCACATTTGAATGAGATAAAGCACATTTCACAGCTGAGTTCAGTTTTGTTACTCAGTAAGCAGACTTTAAGTTCTGACAATAGAGAGCAGCCTCGTCTTGTTTAGCTTTACTACTAATGATTACCTGTATCTGAACGTGAGTGGGATGCAACAGCTCTGTGGAAACTCTCTCCAGCTTGTTTCCTTTGCTGTCTTGGCCTGTAAGTCGAACACAGAAGGGAACTCTGGGAACAGGATCCACCAATCCTACCAGCTCCTCCAAAGAGTAGGTTGACGCTGCTGATGAGGAGGAGTTCAGCTTCACATGCTGCAGGTTCTCCCCTTCAGCTCCCAGCAGGGTGACGTGACTGAAAGATGCCTCCTCCTCTGACGCCAGGCCTGTCACAGCCAGCACCAGAAAGGCAGGGACACCTGAAAATAGGAAGGAACAACAGTTTTGCAAAACAGCAGGAACATTCTCAAGAGTCAGACTTATTGCATACTGTCAGTGATTCATAATTATTATATAAAAAGAAGCGTTCATGCCTCACCTGCTACAGGACTACCCTCCATTCTGGCCAAACCTGGGTGTGTGTCATTGGTTACGGTGGCAAAGTAATACAGGAAATCGACACTGCTGTCACCTGGTGGTGCAGATCACAAGACAAATCAATCTTTGTCCCGTCACACATAGAAGGAAAATTATATTTACAGAGCCCATACTGTCGGTTTCCGTTGCTGTTGGTGTGCATCACTCTTCACCTGCTTTATATGCCTTGTGTGAAGTCCAGGCTTTTTCTCTCGTTACTTATTTACCTCCATGTAAAACATTTTCACAACACCTGCCTAACAGAACACCTTCAGACTAAGAATAATCAACTCTCTCCCTAGAGCTGCTTCTATGAGAGTTACATCCCTATTATCAGCTGTATATAAAGATAGATGAACCCTCCGTAAGGTCTCACATACATTGCCTGAAGGACAGTTATGAAGCTCGGTGTGAGGGCTCCATCTGTCACTTATTCTCGTAGTTTAATTGTATCAGCTGAACTTGCTTGAGTTTCTTGAAGACGTTTCACCTCTTTTCCAAGAGGCTTCATCAGCTCTGACTGACTGGTTGGGAGTTCCAGATACTGATATCCCAAAGGAGCCATTAACACCTGAGTTTCAGTTTCAATTGGGGTTTTGTTGCTCCTTCCCCTCGTTATGTGAGTCGTTAGTGCTCCCCCTGCCACAGTGGGGTTCATTAGGGTCTTTGTGGCTAGGTGTGGATGTGGGTTCATCTTCCTGGGGAGAGCTATTAGGACTGAACTGTAAACAGGTAAGAGGTGATGCCTCAGACCTCCACCTCTGTTGAGGGATGGTCTTTCCATTTATACATAGATGGCTTCTTTCACTCCTCTCTCAAACCATCTGTCCTCCCTGGCCAAAATCTGTACACTGTTGTCTTCAAAAGAGTGTCCTTTGTACATTATGAAAAAAAAGAAAGTTTTTTGAACAGGAAAGATTGCAAACATATACTAGTAGATCCCAAAAATGAGAGTATAAAGCTGTAAATGTGCATAATATGGACTCTTTGAAGTGAACATACCAGCATTATCTGTGTGAATCTGTTTGATGTACTTTTTTTGGGTTTTTTTTTTACCTATTACGTTAAAAGTGAGGTGGCCGTCACTCTTGGCTTGAAGTTTCCACTGTCCAGGCTGTATAGGTGGAAGAAGGCTGATGCGGTACAGACCCTGAAAGTGCTCCAACTCTGCTAGAGGGCCTTGCTCACTCAACAGAGACTGGCTTCGGTCTGACAAGAAGAGGAACATGAACAGTTGCACAATGTTGCCTGGGTAGAGTTCCCATCAATAGTTGAACAACTTGCATTCACTGCTGTGCAAATGGAATTATTTGGAGCTGTTAATGTGCCTGATGTGGCAGTTACCTGACGGACTGGTAAGAATACACTCCATCATAGTGCCAGTGACATGTAGGGTGACGTTTTTTATGGAGCTGTCAACTCTGAAGGAATGGACGGACATGGTCTCGTGGTCACTTTCCACATGGAGGAGTGTCACCTGGAGAAGAACAGAGTCGTAGATGTGATAACATGCTCCAGCTGTAGCCAGCAGAGAGGAGTGAGTGGAGAGGGCTAGGGTTAGCCCTTAACACTAACCCAGGGACTACGCAGGCCTGCAACAGTGTAGAGTTACATCCAAGCCATTTTTAAGGTAGGTAGGCTTTACTTTAAATGAAAAGACTTCTACATATGCAACTTTAAGACACAGAGATGAGGTTTTAGGGCATACGTCACCAACCAGAGAGGAATTCTAAGCACTTGCTTGATATGATTGTGTGTAACATGCTGACAACCATGTTGTACCTTGTCAGCAGCTGTGTTATCCTCCACTATTGTAGACACTCTGTGTATGTCAGAGTTGGTGGTGAATATTGTCAGTCCTCCTGACAGGGAGGACAGGGAGGAGTAGAGAGAGAAACGATCAGGAGACAAAGGTTCCTTACTCCTCCTCTTCCTCTTCAGACGCCTTCGGCCTGCTGTCGTGCCGTTGGCGTCTTCAGTAAGGAGAAATGTCACCTGCAAAAATTAGATCAGAGCATAAGTTGAGCTGAAAGAAGTATGCTAAAATGCAATTTACTTGAATTGCAAGCCTCTTGTCATCACAGCTTCTCTCCATAAGAGGTGTGCAAGACAAGGCACACAAGAGCTACATTCCTGAAGGTCCGTTTCCATAACAGTCAAGCCTGAATTGCCAGCGTCAAAACATTTTTGTTAAAATTAAATGTGTTTCATTGTGATGAGAATCTGAGAAAATAGCAAGAGCAAGACCAAAGCATATCTGAGTGAGTTCAGAGCACTGACTGTAAATAAAGATGGACAAAGCCTCCATAACATCACTAATGGGTTTTGTGAAGAGCAGTTTTGAAGCACATTGTGGTGCTTCTGTGCATGTCTGGGCCATGAATTACCCGACTGGCGGTGACCATACTCTTAATAATGCATACGCTTAAGCCTTTTTGTAATTTCAGTTGGTAAGCTGTATAAAAACCCATTTCCGGTTGCTCTTTCAAGAATAGGGAAACTAGCTGCAGCGACCAAAACTAGGCTGTAGTCATGTTTATTTTGGCATTGGCATTTTGGCATCAACACTGTATTCATATCTCTGCATGAGAGGTTGCCACTTGGTTCAGAGCAGCTCCTGATTTGTCTGTAGAACATACTTACCACAGATGTTGTCTGTGCTGATTTTCTTAAACAGATTAAAATATTAATATTGATGGTAATGTAGCTATTACTAGAGAGGAATTCTCATTAAAGTTACCTTGCTCTGTTTCTCGAGGGTGAGAGCCTTTACTGCATCAAACAAATGGGCGTCTTTAGGGGAAGCATCGGTGAATACAAAGATCTCTGACAGTGGTGGACTGTGAGTGAGGGCCAGCTGAAAAACACACATCAAGAGAGCAATTAGTGGTTACAAGTGCATCCAACAATACTGTACATGCACACACCACATCACTTATTTTCCGTGAGTGATTAGCATGGAAATGTACCTGAATGGCAGAGAGGCACATCTCTGGTTCATCTCCTCCTCCCAGGGCCATCAGGCTCTCCATGTGTTGCATAAACTGGTTTGGGTCCTCAGTCTCATACACTGGTCCTACACCTGCAACAGTTGGTCAAGCAATAAGTTAATCACCAACTATTGTTAATAATCAATAGGTTTGAGTAATCTTTTAAGAAAAAAAAATCTGATTCCAACTAATTTAGTAATCAAGAAGGTAATGGACAGATATATCAAGATGAAAGATGATATTTAGGTGCAGCTCTACATATTTTTTACTGCATGTGTAGGTTTATCCCTAAATTTTTGGATGAGGTTGGAAAATCTTTCACACCAAACTCCTTTTTTTTTTTTTTTTTGTTAAATAGAGCACACTCCATGCATAAACCGTTCTCCCTTTTGGCACAAAGTTGGCAGCTCACTAAGTATGGTAATGTATTAAGAGTCCATGTAATAAAAACTGAAAAGCCTTTTCCACAAAATAAAGAATAAACCCAGACCAGAAGCACATAAAAGTTCAGCATGTTACAGTGCTGTGTGTGACCCTTCACCAAATAACTGAACAATCAAACAAAAATAACAATTAAAGTATAGCTGCCATTGGGGCAGAGGCACCGCTCTGTCCAGCTTCACATGACACTGTTTGTGACAAACTCTCACCTGGGTCATGAAAGGGCACAAGCAGAAAGGTTCCAGCCTGCTCGGGGTTGTTGGCTCGGCTCCGGATGATGGAGTGAGCCCGAAGGCGAGCGGCAGTGATCTCCTCAAACATGCTGCCTGTGGTGTCCATGACAAATACTAATGCGGGAACCTGGTTCACACTGAAGAGCCTGGAGATAAATGTTTGGAAGGAAACACAGACATGCCTACAGTCAACATGTGTTATATTTAGGATGTTGTGAGCCTACATTGGTATGTTGCTTACTTGAGAAATGTTGTGTGTCCCACGGTGTCTCTGAGGTCCCTCAGTACACTTAGAGTGGCCTCAGTAGCCAAAGTGGCAGCTTTGACATGGAGGTAATGGTGAGGGGAGAACAACGGTGAGGTGCTGTCCTTGTTGATGCCCCCTTTGGCCCCCAGGTTGCGACTGCTGTCCAGAATACCTCCGTGACTACATTTGCCTGAAAAAGAAATTTTTAAAACTTTGTGGACCTAGTTTGAAAAGTCATTAAAATATCTATCTATCCGTTATACACCACTTAATCCTCACGAGGGTCGCGGGGGGCTGGAGTCTATCCCAGCTGACTCAGGGCGAAGGCAGCCTCACCTGGACAGGTCGCCAGTCTATCACAGGGCTACACTTAGAGACAGACAACCAAGCACACTCACATTCACACCTACGGACAATTTAGAATCACCAATTAACCTCAACATGTTTTTGGATTGTGTGGGAGGAAGATGGAGAACCCGGAGAGAACCCACGCTGCACGGGGAGAACATGGAGACTCCACACAGAAAGATCCCGGGTGTCCTCACCGGGACACAAACCGGCGACCTTCTCGCTGTGAGGCAACGGGGCTAACCACCGAGCCACTGTGCAGCCTCTCGTTAAGATATTATATATAAAAATGCTGTTTGTTTGAATTTGCATATTTCTTGGGCAGCGCTGTGGCTGCGGGTGGCTGAGGTTGTGCGGATGTACCCTGAGGTTTTGGAGGAAATGTGCCGAAGTAGCCAGTGGTGAGCAGCTGGGAGTCTCCCTGTGTGCTTGTCAGTCTTGGCAGGAGGTTATTTCGACAGGTATGACTGAAGCACTCCATGCAGGTAGGCGTGTCCTCTGTGGAGCGAAAGAGTGAAGGCTTGGCTTAAATTTCCAAATCATTGCTTTTTGCAATAAGTATCAAATCTGGGTATTCTTTCTTTCACTATGGAATTCATTATATGAGATTTTGATGTGCAGTTGCTGATCTAACAAATAAGAGATCACATGGTCACCTTTTAATATAAAATAGGTTTTAAACATATGAATGACTGGATTGACATTAAATCACTATTCAGTCTTGAGAGCAAACAATTGACTTAAATATAATACAGAATGTAATTGCTCACATTATGTCAAGACCAAGAAGTAGACAATCTACAAACTATAAAAGGAAAATGTACAACTCCAAATGTGGCCTTATAGAGCATTAATATTTGCAAAAAACTGATGTAAAATATAAAAAAGTGCTAAAATAAAAGTTAAGTCACTCATTTTGTTCAGAGATCCTACATAAAGACTGTTCATCCTATACAGTGATACTGAATTATCGCTCAGCCTTAAGCTCACTGGTTGCCGTATGTGGCTGCGTAGACCTGTGGTGTAATCACAGGTGTGACTTACCTTTAGCTACAGGAACAGCAGGCTGCTCTGGCTGCAGCAGGTGGAGATAAATGGAGCGCTGGCCCATCTCCACCCAGTTGCTGTGGCTGTAGAAGTCCTGATGTAGAGCAAGAGATGTTTGAAAAGCCACACATTATTCATGTTTCTGCCATTACATTGATTTAATTATCATGTCAACATATACATTCAATTCCATGCAAGCAGTGAGGCAGATTTTAAAGGACAAACTAAACTGCCCACACACGGTGATGCTTTTAAAACCGAGCTCCACTTGAATGCTGTAGTTCACAAGTTCATCGACTTCCTGCATCAAAATGTCACCTCACAGCTCATATGAAAGTTTCCCTGTGTACCTGCAATGAATGAAATAGCTGACCCAAGCTGCGACGGGCACTTTGGTACTCTTTGGCTCGTACTGAGAGCACAGTCTGAGTCCAGAACTGCCGTAACATCACCACGGCGCTGTCAACTCGCTCTGAATCAAAGTGGTAGACTGGGTCCGACATGGTCGAGCTGACGAAGTCCATGGCTGCGTTGGACTTCACCACCTCCCCCACGGCTTTCCGGAAGCCTCGGCCCAGTCTGGTCTGAGGGAATGAAATGTTCTAGATCAAATATCTCAAAGTAATACACACAGGAAAAGGAGCAATTCACTGAATGTTATCATTTGGCTTTTGTGAGCCACTGACACTGATTCACTGCCGTACTGACAGCAGACTGACAGTAGACCTCACCTCCCCCTTTGCATGCTTCCCCTGGAGTTTTCTGGTGCCCCTCAGAGTCTCCTGGGTGACATTGACGATGGCCTGCTCTGTGATATACTGGTGTGTGTGTGAGTCCCAGGACAGAGTCAACACTGTCGACCAAAAGTTAGGGAGGAAGCCCATGCACGGTAAAGCCAGGAGGAGAAGGTACGGGAGAATAAACCAGCTCACCAGCTTGGTACTTCCTACCCAGATTCCTCGACCCTGTGACATTATGCTCTGGAGAAAAGGTGAGCAGGTCACATCCTACCTGTATAAAATAAAAGCACGTCAGCTGAAGTCCTAAAACCTTTACAAAACAAGGTTAGATGTAGCTGAGCAGTTTTGTTGTGCGACACACTGTCCTGCTGGGGAGACTGCTGGCATTGGAGAGAGCAGTTGCCGTGCAGGATTGTGCTCGATCTCCAAAAATGTATAAGTGAGTATCAGAGTAACATCCACGTGAATGCCGGTCGCCATGGTTTCCCAGCAGAACACTGCAATGCCACATTATTACACACATCACCTGTAGGTGTTTGAATGTTGTGGCTGACTGGTGTTTGTGAGCTGTAAAGCTGTACGTGTTGCCTTTCTTTGTTAGAGAGCTGTGTCAATATTTCTTGTTCAAAAATTCAGATGTTTGGCTGGAGAGCCGAGCACTTCTCACCCAATGAGTTTTCTAATGCTGCATGATTTTCTCATCTTAAAAAAAAAAGCACTTCCAGCTTGCTAAATGAATGGATGTTAATTGACCCGACCACTATTGTTCTGTAATGTTTTGTACTAATTCAGTCATGTTGCGCCAGTCATCCATGTGTCCTTTTCTGTCATCACCCACTCCTTGACAGTGCCCCCAATACCTCCTCTCAGATCCGTCTCAGCCCTGTCTGTACAGAGGCTCCTATTGTTCTTTGTAATCTTCATTCCGATACAATACTTTGGGTCCGTTCTCACAGTCTGTGCTTTCACAGGGAGAGACTGGAACAAAGCAAGAGGCCTGTAGCTGTTGCCTTTACTCTGCCAACCTTCATCCAGCAAAGCCAGCATCAAATGACTGACATAGTCTCTGAAATCCTCCTTTACCTCATTCTGAAGGAGCATGCAATATCTGATAATCATCCGACGCTCCACTTGTTACTGATGGCATTTTTAGTTTTTAACATTTTCAGCCCATCAACAACCAGAACATTGCTTTGAGCTTAGTCTCACACTCAGCTTCTTCACCAGCACAGTGCAAGCACTTTTTTAGTTTGTACCTCCAAGGCATCATTGTACAAATAAATGCACGTGTATCAAACTCACGGCCTGTGGGCCAAATCCGGCCCGCCGTGTCATTTTATGTGGCCTGTGAGAGATGTGTGTTTCCTAATCTGATCAATTAATGGGATTTACGTAACATACTGTAACATAATCTAATAATTTATGTTATAATAACACAGCAATGTGCCTCCACATATTTGACTTTTAGGTAAAGGCATGCACAATATCTGTACATAGAATAAATAATAATCAAAAGCAGAGACAATTATTTAACAGTATGTTCAGGAGTGGTTATTTATACAGTCTGACAGTTACAAACAAACATCATGCTGATGTGGTCTGGAATGAAAGTGAGTTTGACACCCCTGAATTAATGCATGCCATAGTATTTTTACAGCTTAATTTTAGCTTATTTTTTAATTTTTATTTTTCCTTTATTTAACCAGGTGGGTTAATTGAGAACAAATTCTCATTTACAATAACGACCTGGCCAAGAGGCAGCACAGAACAGAAAATACAATAAAAGGAACACATCCATTAAAAAAAAAATCAATACGCAAACAAAACATAACAATAAAAGGCTTAAAGATAACATACACTAAAAGCAGGTACAGGAATCTGGAAGTAATGCCGTCACCATATTTTTGAAAGATTTAAAGCTTGCATGTCACAAGGCAAACATCCCCTTTAAGTTGTGATTGCACTTAAAGAATTAAAAAAAAAAACTTTCTCACCATAGTTCATCCTGTTGTTCAGACAGCTCAGCCTCAGCTGCAGAGAATATAGCACAAATGCATGCGGTCATATGACCACACACACTTTCTTAGCCACCTGTCAGCGCTGCGCAGTACTGAAACAAAATGATTAAGTCTTCACGTTGGTGTGTCCTTGGGTTCTTGTCTCTGGCTGGCTCTGCGTCAGAAAAATAACAACCAAAGTATGAACGGAAGAGGAACTTTGTTGAGCTTGGATGACACTGCCTGGTCTTGGGTGTGTTTCTTTGCTTGAGGGGCAACACCATGAGGCAGAAGACATCTCGCCACTGCTCCCCTAAAGCCCCTTGCCCCTCCTTACCCCCATTAATGCACGGTGCATTGATTCACCACAATAGGGCCGCATACATTACCAGCCAGGGTGTTCAACTGAGGCCTGCCCCAACCCCCCTGCCCTCCATCCGTCACTCTCTCTTTTAAACACAAAACCAAAAAAAAAAAAAACACAGTTTACAACACCACAACCTCTTCCTTCCTCCCAGACTCCTAATGGCATTGCAAAGAAAGGCATCAGTTGCAGAGCAACACCAGATATATTGCTGAACTTCAGTTTGTGCGACTGAAGGAGATGAAGGATGTTGTTTTAGCTTTGCTCATCTGCTGTTTCATGAATTTGGCTGTAGCTTTGGCTACATGTTGGATCCTGTTTTGGCTAAGAATTTAAAGGGGAAGACAGAGCTCAAACAAAGTTCCCTGATACATCAGAAAAACATCCACTCAGAAGTTTTGTACTAATGAAAGTGAAAGTAGGTACATTAGTGGTGACACAGATAGGGATTGGTCAAAACATGTGGCTGTTGTATGTGACTACATGCACGTAGAGGGAAATGCAAGGCGGGGGTCTATTCTGCGAAAACCTCACAGCTTACTGGAAGCCAGCCGCAGGTGAGGTTAATGTTTCCTGTTCACCTGTGGTGAGCTGCCGACTGTTTCTGTGCTGATACTTTTTCATGTGTCTTTGCAGCCGACACAGTTTTAAACACACCGGAATTGTGTCTGTCACATCAACCACATTGCAATGACAATAAATCTGAATCTGAATCACATAAATACTGCAACAGATACTTTAGGTGCAGTTCCCAAGCTCAGACAGACAGGAGTGTTGTTTGTGAGCAGAGAGGGGAAATATACCTAATGTAGCCATGAGACACGAAACAAGAGCAAAAACTCTGAACAATACTGATAATGCAGGCGCTGATTTGTGTAGTTATGTTTTGTAAATGGTTTTTGCTGTCTTCACCCTGTGATAGACTTTTAAATTGTATAATGATGAAGTAAATTTTATTTAACAGTTGCAAATGTGCCTCTTGTTTTTCTGTTAGTCCTTCTAGTGCAGGGGTGTCGAATCCTGGTCCTCGAGGGCCGCAATCCTGCAAGTTTTAGATGTTTCCCTCTTCCAACACACCTGATTCAAATGATCAGGATCGTTATCAGGCTTCTGCAGCGCTTGATAACTCATTTATGACGCTGACAAACCTGATGTAGCATCAGTGTTAACTAGTCAGGAAATGTAACCTGAGATTTACAGAACAACTTTAAAACACGATGTTACATCATGTTTTACCATCAGAGGCTCCAGTCTGATGTTAACTCACAGAAAACAACCAGTTACTGAGACACTTTAACACTCACCTGGAGAGTTTCGCTCCACTTTTGGAGGCTAACGCTGTTAGCAGCAGGTAAACACAGCAGCAGGTGAATGTGAGGGGGCAGAGAGTCCTTAGCATAGACTGTATAAAAGATGGACGTAGCAATCGGCCCTGAAAAATGAAGCCAACCCGGAAGTGTCAAAAACCTGCAATATCACTCTGTCCGCTAGTCCTGGCTCCAAAAAGTCCTGGCTCCATACCGCATTCCTACAGCTCAGGATTTTTAAAAAATTAGTTTTCATGGTCAAGTCCAGAGATCAGGTGGCCAATCTGAAAATAAATCAATACTGAATTTTTTAAAAATCGTCAAAATTTTGCGGGGCAAGGGGCGTGGCTGGCTTGATTGACAGTTGGCAGCGACCATACAGATGAAGCGAGCAGAAGGCGGTAAATGTGGGCGGGCAGAGAGGGCCTGCCTCTCAATCCGTCTGACCAATCGCTGCTCCTATGGTTCCGCCCCCCTCTGACGATTTTTGCGTCACTGGCTCCAAAAATCCAAGATGTCAACCAGGAAGTAGCAAAACCCTGGCTTCATTTTCTCAGTGCAGAAAACAACGACGTCACGGTAGCTACGTCCATCTTTTATACAGTCTATGGTCCTTAGCTCTGAGTCTGTCTGACCAATCACTACTCCCCGGCTCCGCCCACATTTAATCTGGTTTTCTCTGACTTCAAAAGAGGTAGCATTTTTTTTTTTAATTCATAATATACAAAATACAAAATAAACATTCTTACTTGCATTAACAAAAAAAAAAAAACAACCATAAAAAAGCACACAACAAACAAGAAGTGTACACACACCAAACTAAAATACAAAGAAAATGGACATACAGGAATAGATCTTGAATTACAGCTTCTTTCTTTTTTTTAAAAATTTATTTCATTTTTTATTGTATTTATTACACATTTCATATTTTGATTATATCTTTATTATTCTTATTATTCCCTTGTTTCTCTCTGTATTTTATTCTTTTTCTTCGACCAGAAGGACCAAACTCATGGCAGATAGCCGCGGGTGACGTCACGTCAGCGACGTCGCCCTGTCCTATACAGTCTGAGGGTGACTCCAGGTGTCAATCATGTTGTTGTTTGGGCATGAGACACAACTACAAATAGAAGTAAATATCTTCAGTATCTTTCATTCTTTTACTCCTCGACTCAAACGGCAACTTGCAGCTCAACTCACCCAGTCTTCCTTTATATGTAAACCTCGCGCAAGAGAGGTGTACAGCTCCGCCCAACCGGTGTTCCATGATAAACACCCAGGAGGCGTGACTTTACGTGTGGTGTCTGGAAATGACCTCTTCCTGCTTTACCAGCCGGACTGTCACACTTCCTGGACTATCTGCAGTAAAGCTGTCCTGTGTTCATGAACGTCTGTCTCCAGAGGTACGTTTCTTCTGTGATGCATTTGTTGAAACGCTCCCAGATGAGGCTCCAGTTAACATGGGCCTGATGAGGAAACATGAGAACAACTGCAGAGTGCTGCTGTCACACTGAGTCTGACCATTGTGCTGCACTGTGGTGATGTTTCTGCTGATAAGAGACTTTGTCTGTGCTGGGTTGTTTTTTTTGACAAGTTATCTATTTAAAAATGCAACTACAAAAGAGCATTAAAGAAAATCTGCTGAGAGATGAGATGTGTAGATGAGCTGGAAAGAAGCTGATCATGGCTTAAGTTTGTCATATTAACTGGAATA